GCCCAGCCCGGCAGTAAGCTTATTCTGCCCATCTACCCGTGCCCTGCCATGGCAGCTGGTGGACACCTTGCCTTCCAGTCTTAAGAGCGAGCCAAGCAGAGAAAGATAGGGGCAGCTGTGCTGAGCTGGAGCACAGTCCAAACGGGGCTGTGGCCTGGGTGGTTTGGCCTTGGAGGGTTTCAGGCTGTCGTGGGACTCAGGGATGCACTGGGTTAGAATGTGGAAGCTTGTCCCTCCAGTTGCCTTATAGTTGTCAGCTTTGTGCTTCAAAGACACGGTACTGTCCCCAATCCAGGCGTCTCTGTCTCTGTGCCCACTTCTCTCATTGTCCTAAGACTGCTGAGGCCTTCATTGCTGTCCAGCACTTCAGCCCCAGTGTGGGCAGTGGGCAGGACCCGCAAGACTGTCAGCACTACCTCTCCGGGGACAACCCACCGAGGGGCAGACTTGGCCTCTTGGATCATACCCGCCTGGATGCTGCTCCATTCTGGGGAACAGGTGACCAGCAGAATCCTCCAGCGATATGGCAACAGCCGTTCTGCACAAAATCTTTCAGAATCCCTCTTTGTACTAGAGACACGGAGAGGGGAACAGGCTGCTACTGCAGACTCAGCACAAACTGGTGGTCCCTGGACCTGACAGTCCACCTGACCTCGGAGCCCGCGTTGCCCCTCCTTGGGAAATCTGCCATGGTGGCCATGTTCATTTGGAAAGAGCCAGGCATTTGAACTCTCCCTCATCAGCCTGTAGCCCGGAGTGATGCGGGGAGGTCCCAACATGGATGAGGGAGTCCTGAGGTACTACTAGCTGCAGCACCCAACTGGGTACAGAAGTAAAGGACCAGTTCAGATTGGATCTCCCTCTACAGGGAGCTCTCAACTATCTCAGGACCTTTTTAACCCCAGGAAAGAAGTTAAATTCTCAGGAAAACAGGGAGGTAACTAGAGACATCCCACCAGTGACTTGAAAAGAAATAGGTTCTCGTTCTCTCTCTCTCTCTCTCTCTCTTTCTCTCTCTCTCTCTCTCTCTCTCTCTCACACACACACACACACACACACACACACACACACACACGGTCTTGTAAAACTACCATTTTTACAAGTACACCGAAAATCTGGCCTCTCCTCATTGTTCTCCAAGTTCCTTCAGTAGTGACCCCTGTGCCAACAGGCTGGGTTCAGGCTGGGCCGGCCCAACCTGGGAAAGCATCCCACTTACTAACTTGAGCCTGACCTTTGTTATGTGCCCATGTGTTAAGTAAGCTAGTGAGCAAGCGAGTCTCCTCCGTAGTTAAAGCACAGGGCCCTGGCGAACAGCCAGCACATTCTTGGCCGCAGCTGTTGCTTCTCAGTGGATCCATTATGCCATCTGGCTGCCAATGGAGCCCAGAACTTGGAAGGCTGAAAGACAACGTTATCTGGGATTCACTGTACCCAGCACTCGAAGTGCCAAATTCCAGGAGGAAGAGAACCCCAGCCAATGACAGTTTACCCTCCCCTACTCCGCCTCCTCCAAAGTCCAAGAAGTATTGGAAGGTCACAGAGCCGCAGGACATTTTATAAGTCCCCTTTGGACCAAGTGTCTTGATCCCATTAACCTGCAGGTCAGGTCTGGGACTGAGAGGGATTACTGATTCACGATGGCCTGGTTGGGGCTTGTTTGGGAGGGGAGCAAGGATCTGCCACATGCTATATTCTCTCACAGACCACAAGGCGAAGGTGTAATTAGAAACACAGGGGGCAGGGGGACCAAAAAGGTGCTGAAGAGAACTCCACAGCTACCGCTCTTGGGGAAGGTTGTGAGCGTCACACAGACTGCGGCTCTGGACACGACTGAGGCAGGAAGGGAGGGGGCGAGGGAACAGAAGAACCCAGATTTCCAACAGCTGTGGATGTTCTTACAGACACTGACCTGTGACATAGGCTCCCAGGAGGGCTGCAAACCTTACCTCTTGAGATATTTGTATAACTTATTTAAATGCCAGTCTCCTTTGTGTGTTTTGGTAATAAACTGGTCTTGAAACGTGGCTGTGCATACGTAGTGACATGGGTTTTAAAGGGTGGCGAAAAGAGCCCTCCAAACGGCCGATTTTGCTCCGTGCCAGTCTGAGAAGAGGTTGAAGGATTCTGAGGTGTCTCCTAGACAGCCTCCAGGCCTGCTTGCCCACTCCTCGCCATGAATGCATTCGCATGAGCCAGTCAGAAAGCAGACTGGAGGGAGGAGACAGAGCAGAGGGGCCACTTATTCGGGCGGGCGTCAGCCCTGCCAACCAGCTCTGTGCTTCTGGAACCACAAAAGGAGGCTGAGCAGTTTAGTGTAATCCACACACCTGTAATCCCAGTATTTGGGAGGAAGAGGCAAGGGGAGCGAGAGTTCTAGGCCATCCTTGGCTACACAATGAACTTGAGGCCAGCCTTGGCTACATGACACACACAGCCAAACTCTCCTCATACCTTCTGCCGACCCTCCCTTCATCAACGCTTCTCCATTGTGAATGACTACCAGAGATCAGCACCACCACCACCTAGCAAAGCCTCATGAGGGACACGATCTAACCCTGATTTCCCTCCCAAATGTGAAATACAACACAGAAAACAGGGCTTGGGTCTAACAAGCTAGACCAGTTCCCAACTTTGTTTTCTAACAGTGGGAGAAAGGAGATAAGAGGAACAGAAGGACAGAGTGATGATGGAGAGGAGACAGTGGGAAAAGCCAAAGGGACCAGAGAGATGGCAAAGCAAAGAGAGCACAGACACACGATGCGCAGAGTAGAGAGACGGAGACGAGGGAAGAGCTGGAGAGTGAACGTAAGGAGACAGGTGAGGGAGGGCTCATGTTGCGGAAGCAGGAGGCGGGTGCGTTCTTAACTGATGTCTATAAACTTTACCCTGCCACTCCTGACTGTGGGATTTCAGCGAATTACCAATCAGCATCCTCCCTGCTTGAGTTTTAGATTTTCTTCTAGCCTCGATCTGAGCCTAATTCTCCCACGAAGAAGAAAACCCAAGTACATTTTTCTCTCCTAATTTCCCACCATTCTGCCAGAGGCCAAAGGTGGTGCACAGGCTGTTTCTGTGATCCAGGAAACAGTCGGGAGTGAGACAGCAATGGAGAGAAATACAACTTAAGAAGGAAGAGTCACTGGGGCAGCTGGGGACCGCCGCCTTCCCCACTGCCTTCCAGAGGTTCTGGAGCTACCGCTACAAACTGTCAGGCAGATGGTGTGGCTCCCACAGGAAATGACCCTCATAGGCTCATATTTGAACATGTGGTCTCCAGATAGTGGGGTGTTTATGAAGCCTTTAGGAGGTAGAGTCTCGATAGAAGATGCACATCCCTGGGGGTGACTTTGGGAGGTATAGCGTCACCCCACCTCCTGCTTTCTCGGTTTTCTGTGTGGGGTTGAAACTGCCACCAGCAAGCTTCCTGTTCCTACTGTCGGGCCATGCCTTTCCCACCACGATGGACTCTACTCCTCAGGAACCATAAGCCGAAATAAACTCTTTCTCCTAGAAGCCCCTTCAGTTGTGGTGTTTTCTCACAGCAACAGAAAAGCAAGCAATGCAGTGCCTCGGGGGAATGAACTCTGCAACGACGGCAGGGGACATGGCTTCTGAGGGTGTCCCCTGAAAAGACATCCACCAGGAAGGGGCTGGCAGGTTAGAAAGCACATTCCACAGAGGGAGCATGCAGCGGCCGTAAAACCGAACGTACTCTTTTATCTTTCCATCTTTAAAACCTGTATCTTCTAGGTGTTACAGCTGAACCCTCTAGAAGATGCCCAGCTACTATGCTAAACTGAATGAATCCCTTTGAAGACCATGACTCCCCTCTCAGATACAATCTCTCTAGGCATGCTGCCAGAGGAGGCCAGCTATAGAAACTGGCTCATACGCACTGACAGGAAGATCTCCAGACTCTAAGGTTGAATGGCATAACAAAATCACGATTTCCTCCCACTTCTCAGACTTCCTTGAACAATTTTTAAAGGCAGCTTTGTTTTTAATTTTCTAATAGGAAAAAAAACGAAAAAAGTTGCAAAACCAAAAACAAAACAAGAGACACCACACCCTCTTCATCCTTGTTCAATTGTTAATATTTTGCTCGTTTTATTATTTCATTCTCATTTCTCTCTCACTCTATAGATACCCGTAACATTTTTTATGAAGCATCTTAGGGGAAAGTCCTTGCAACAAGTAATCTTGGTAGAGGCATCCTCAAGTGAAGAATTGCCTCCATCAGACTGGCCTCTGGCCGTTGTCAGGGGGGCATTGTCTTGATTGGTGATTGATGTAGGAGGTCCTGGCCCACATCACAGTGGTGCTGCCCCTGGGCAAGATGAATACTAACCAAACACACAGAATAGCTGTATTCATATATGACAAATTAGCTTTGAAGGAATGGGGCTATTCTTTGAAACTATGGTGGCATGGTGATACACACTTATAATCCCAGCATTCTGGAGACCAACGCAGGAGGATCTTGAATTTGATGCCAATCCTAGGCTACATAGTGATAACTTTTAAAAGGCAGGGGGAGAATTACTAAAAAATAATCACATTATGATAAGAATTTAATTTCCAAGGGAGATGGAGGAGAGGAGTATGGGGAAGGATCAACAAAGCAAAGTGTATATGAGAACAGTATAACAACATGTGTTACTTGCATGATGATTGTATGTAGATGCTGGGAACAGTACCTAGGGTCACATGCTAAACAAGTGCTCTACCACCAAACTATATGCCCAGCTGATGTGTGCTTGCATAAGACTGACTGAGGGTGTGTGTATGCGTGTGTGTGGTGTGAATTGCCAGCATCACTATCCTTGCCTTTTGGGGCCATTATTAAGTAAAGTAAGTTCTCTCTTGTTCTGTAACCGCCCAGCAGGTCAGTTATTCCAGGGTCCCGAAGAGGCGCTATCTGAAAAGACGCAGGCAGGAAAGAGGAAGGAGGCCAAGCAAGATCTGTTGTCAAAGTCTCCGTTTATTAGCGTCACAGTTGTGGCTTATATAGCCCCTGGATGAGGAATTTGGGTTGGGATGGGGGCAGGGGCATGTCCAGGGCAGGAAGGGATCTTGCAGCGAAGGTCACGAGGTCAGGATCGCTCAGCTTAAGAGATCTATAAAACAAAAGCACCTCTACCCTGTAAGCCCCATTTACCCAAGGACAGATAACTCTTGGAATGCTGGGAGCTGTTAACGTAAGATAACAAGTCCTATGTCTTCACTTCTATAACAAGCTTGGTTGCAACAATTGCACCAAGTATATGTGCTTTATCAGAATAGGCAGGAGGCACATCAGGGTGTACACTTGCCCCTGGCTGGACAAAAGCCTTGTGGGTTTTGCCTTTATAAGTTCCTGAGTCCCATACTTTGGTAATCTCAGGTATGAACTTGGCCGGTGTCCACCATCCTGGCCAATATTTGATAAAGCTTGCTTCAAATTTGGCTCAAAAATTGTGGCAGTGGTCTTATTCTTGCCCAGTGGTAGTAGCATTTTCTGGAGGCCCCCAGCAAGATCAGACGACCCACCCAAATTCTAAAGCTAGATCTTCACTCCAGGACTCTGAGCTCAAGGGCCACCTCAGGAGGTGCGCACCTTGAGACATACCAAGGCTCCAGGCCGTGTTTTTGGTTTCTCAGACTATCAGAGTGAACTGCCAAGCTGAGAAAAGCAGCAGGTGCCTATGGAGGCCTCCCCTGGTCATCATAGTAACTTTCTTCTTCTGCTGAGATCCAGATCTGGGATGAGGAGGGCTCTAACGAGACCTAACACTCTCCCATCCAGAGCAAAATACTGAGACATCGCACCGCCAGCCTGGCTCTGGTTGCTTGAATATGAGGAGATGAGTTGGAAATCGGTCAGGCCCAGTTCAATGTATGAGTTTTGTCTCTGGCTGGCCTCCTTAGGGTGCATGAGCTTTCTGTGTTCTGTGTTTATTGGTATTTGTTTTGCTACCTTTGCCACCTCTGAAGCCACTTGCCATGGCTGCTTCAGTGGTCCTGACCATTCAGAATGTCTTATCTCTGGGCTTTTCTGGTCACTGGACTCAGTCTGGCAGAAGGTCAAATATCTCTTGGGTGTGGAGAATATTAAAGTTATTTTATGCTGTTGTACTTTATTGGAAAGCTGGCTCTGGAGGTGGGTTACGGCTCTCTCTTCTCTAGACCCAAGCATGCATATCTAAAGTTTCCTCTCTGTCCTATGTCAGGAGGATCACCTGATCTTGTGACAGAGAAAAGAGAGCAAAGCAGAACAGCCCAAAACTTCAGATTATTGGTTCCATTGAACTGCCTAAAGATAGAAAACTCCTCCTAATTCCCCCATCTCCTCTCCCCCAGCTCCGCTCCTCCTCCATTTCCCTTCAGGAAAGAGCAGGCCTCTGAGGGATATCAACTGAACACGGCATAACAAAAGACTAGGCACAAACCCTAATATGAAGACTGGACAAGTCAACCCAGCAGGAGGAAGAGGGTCCTGAGAGCAGGCAACAGAGTCAGAGGCACACCCCCTCCCACTGTTAGGAGTTCCACAGGAATGCCAGACTACACTGTACAACATATTTGCAGAGAACCTAGCTGTCAATCAGTCTCATGAGTCTCTATGAGACCTGCTTAGTTGATCCTTTTGGGCCCTGTTCTCATGCTGTCCTTGATCCCTCTGGTTCCTACAATCCTTCCTCCCCCTCTTCTGCTTGGTTCCCTGAGCTCTGTCTAGTGTTGGCTGTGGGTCTCTGTTTCTGCTCCCATGGGTTCCTGAATAAAGCCTCTCAGATGACGATGATGCTAGGCTCCAATCTATGAGTATAACAGAATATTATTAAGAATCATTTTATTGACTTTTTTTTTACTAGTCATGTTTGGTTCTATTCTAGGTTTCTAGCTATCCAGCCTCTGATTCCTGACTCTCCAGGCAGTGTCAGGCATGGGCTCCCACTCATGATGTAGGCCAAGTTACACCAGTCATTGGCTGAACACTCCCACCAGATCTGCACTACCATTATCCCAGCACATCTTGCAGGCAGGACAAATTATACATCAAAGTTTTTGTGGCTGGGTTGATGTCCAGGCCCACCATGGAAGCCTTGCCTGGTGACAGAAGATGGCCAGTTTGGGCTCCGCATCTCCCATTCCTTGGAGTCTTTGCTAGGGTCACCCTTATAGATTCCAAGGAGTTTCTACTGCTGTGAGTTTCCATACCACCCCTTTCCCCCAAAAGATCTAGGCATGGTGGCACACATCTTTAAACCCCAGCACTCAGGAGATAGAGGTCGGTAGATGTCTGTGAGTTCAAGGCCAGTCAGGGATATGAAGAGACACCCTGTCCCCAAACAAAAACAAAAAATCCCACAAAAATGAAAATCGAAAGAAGCAAACAAAAAAAACATTCAAACAAAGAAATGCCCCCCCAAATAAACACCACATACACACACAGAGAAGCATCAAGTTTACTTTATGTTGGCTAACTTTCTGGGCCTGGGGCCTATCCTGGATCACTCCACAGGAAAAAAACAAAACAAAACAAAAAAAACCTAGCTTTCCCTTTGCCAGCAGGGATCAGTTGCAAAGAGCTTCTAGATTAGGGATGGGACCCTGTGTCTGCTTCCCCCCCTCAGGCTGGGACCCTCCAGGCTTGATAATAAACAAACAATTAGAAATAAACTCCTCCATCACCTAGCTATAGCATCCTGAGTACTGTCACCTGGAAGACAGCAAATCAACAGAGGACATGGACACCTGCTCAGCGGTGCCCATCGCAGCCACATTCACAAGTGACGGACCCTAGATCTCCTACAGCATAGGAATGGGTGAAAAGTGTGACGTATACACACAATGGGAAAATGGATGCACCTGGTGTGAGAGCCAAAGCTACATTTTAAGTTTGAGTTGCTATCTATGCCTTAGAGATCCGCGAAACTTGCCTCTGCTCTGCAAGCCCCTTGCCCAAGGAAGGGCAGTACCTGAAAGGCTGGAGGCTATTGTTTATGGGAGATAACAAGCCACAAGGTTTTCACTCCCTCAAAAACAAATTTGTTCGAATCCTCTGTGTCAAATGTGCTTGATCATGTGCGAGCAGGAGGTTCACAGGCAGGAAGTACGTCAGGATATACGTTTGCCCCTGATTGGATGTAGGCTAGATGTCCATCAGGATGTGTGCTTGCCTCTGATTGGACGTAGACTAGATGTCCATTGGATGTTTGCTTGCCCCTGATTGGATATAGGCTAGATGTCCACCAGGATGTATGTTTGCCCTTGATTGGGCCTGAGGGGAAATGCAATGAATATAGGTTTTCCTTTTTAAACCCTTGCCATACTTGATTCTGGGCCATTTCCTGGCAACTTTGGTATGGACTTGACCAGAGTGCATCTGCCTGGCCAGGATTTAATTAAAACTTGCTTCAAATTTGGCTTTGAATTGTGGTGGTAGTGAGATTAACACCGGAGGTAACTATATTGAGCAAATTAAGCCAAGCTCAGAAATATAAATATATTTCTCATTTGTGGTTCCTACATTTCATATGGTCTCATAAAATCATGTATGTATAGACTAAATGAAAGAACTGAGAACTAAGGAAATTATGGGGATCAATGGAACAGAGAAACAAGAAAATAGAGGGTAGAGAGTAACGGAGAGAAGATATTTATGTTCAAAATACAATACGCACCTGTAAGAATTGTGTTTATGGAGATGAACATAAGAGCTGGGGGAAGGGAGGTGTGCTATGGAATGTTGTCTTCCCGGCAACACACGGCCTTTGCACTCTGGACCAGACTGCCTGCACAGAACTGGGTGACACGCATTCTGTCATGGAGGGGGAAGGGATTCATGCAGGATCCCCACTTCTTGGGAAGTTATAAGCTGTCAATATTGCTAGGAAAGGAACAGAAATTTTATTTAGGTGGTATTCACTGGTAATTTGCCCGTGCTCCTTGAGTAGCTTTAATTAAACTCATTGGATCACACACACACACACACACACACACACACCAGACGCAAACTAGTTGGGACAACAAGGTGATCAGTGGGGGCTGAGAGGGAGACAGAGGTCGGGAATACATTTGATCAGGATCCATTATACACATGTATAAAGTGTCATGATGACGCCTATATGCTGCTATCTAGGGGCACAGGATGGGGTTTCATTTTTTTCTGTCAATTAAGAATTATTTTTTGGTTTTGGTTTTTGTTTTTCGAGACAGGGTTTCTCTGTAGCTTTGGAGCCTGCCCTGGAACTTGTAGACCAGGGTGGCCTCGAACTCAGAGATCCTCCTGTCTCTGCCTCTGGAGTGCTGGGATTAAAGGCATGCACCACCACCACCACCCGGTTTCAATTAAGAATTAAAAAGAAGGAAAGAGTTGTTACCAAAAAAATTTCAGAGTGCCAGCAGAGACATCAAACCCGGGAAATTCGGATCTCCTCTGGGGTTCTTGGTGTCACTAAAAAGAGAATTTAAGAACCATCACACATACACAGGAGCTGGAGAGGTTTAAAGGAAGACCCCAGGGCAGGAAAGCTTAAATTCAAAGCTGTGGGGAAGGGGCTTGTTGCGGGGATTAACCCTTGAGGAGTGTAGGACCCAGCCACCACAAGCTCAAAAGTGTCTCAGTAGTTTGCCCTGAGGCAACACCTGGTTCCGATAAAAACCACAAACTGAGACTACCCAGGCACCACCCAGGAACAGACCATCCAAAGGAAATTCCTAATGATCTAACCTTTGTAGATAAGATCACCTGCCAGCACACACCTTCCCTTTTCACCAGGACACCCCTAGACAAACGTCAGCCAATTAGGGGTCCTGAACCTTAGCAATCCCTCACCCCCACCTTTGCTACTATAAAAGCCCAACTCTGAGCTCAGGGATCTCACTCCTATCACGTTGGGCGCACGGAGAGACCGAGTTTGCAAACTTGTGCATGAATAAAGGCTCTTTGCTTTTACTTACAGGGCTCGGTCTCCTAGTTGGGGCGGGGGGGGGGGGGGTGCTCCGTGATCTGGGCAGAACAGGGAGAAACAAGGTCACATCTCCAACTACAGGTAGGTTCCATTGTTAGCACATTATTGTATTCAGCTATGCTAAGAAAACGGTTCAAAACAGTTCCAGCAAGGTTCCTAAACAGGAGCAAACTGTCCCAAACAGGTATGTCAAAACACTATCCGTTAATAGCCATCCTGGGGCAGTTTTTGATGAAATTAAAGCCGGAAACCACCAAGTTCCTCCACAGAACCTAGGAACTAGGAGTCAAAATCTAAATCTAAACATACTCCAGAAAGAGAGACTGAGGTCTAATAAACCTGGTTTACACACTCACTGAACTGGTTTGCTCTCACACACAGAAGATTCACAGTATCTCCAAGCTAGATCAAGCACAGATCAAGAGCCGTGAAGACCTAACCTTTGCCTAGAGCGCAGTATTGCTTCAGTTTGCTTCCTGACTCTACTCCCGCCTTCCGTGGGAAATCACACACCCCTAAAGGCCTTGCGGAGCAGGGGCGGAGCCCTTCTATTGATTGGTTGGCTGCCGTCAAGACCAAGCGGTGATTGGTCAGCGGCGAGTCAGGTTGGACTTTTAGGTCCAAACTCTGGCCAGACAGGCGAGGCCTCGGGAGAAACATGGCTGGGCAGTGTGTGGGCGTGCGGGCCCTGGTTGCCGCACTCCTGATTTTTCTCGCCACCGTCTCTGGATCCACCGGCCCTAGCAGCAGGGAAATTTGGGGAGCCTCGCGGATCCCTTCCCAGTTCAGCGAGGAGGAGCGCGTCGCTATAAAAGAGGCGCTGAAAGGTGAACCTCCGCCCCCTTGGGCTCAGACGTGGGTCCCTCAGTTCCCAGTCATCCCGGGACTGTCTCCCTTGGCAGAGGGACCGACCGCTGCTTAGGCTAGAGTTCCACTCGCCACACCGCGGACTGGCCCGGTCAGCGTTCCCGCACACGTCCAGGCACACGCTGCACGGGTCTGGCACGCCCCTCGCGTCAGTGTCCCCTTACCTAGCCTGGAGGCTCCAGCTTCACTCCCCTGGGCATAGCCCGCACCCACCTCAGACCTGCCTCACCCTGCCTGCCTCTGACAAGTGGTTTGTAGCACTTTCGACCTCTGAAAGGTATCATGTTTGTTAAATCTCCGAGGTATTTTAAAAGTAATTTGCTTTGTTAAATGATCTTCCCCAGGGCTCCTGCAAGGACTGGGCTCTCGGTAGCAATATTTAAGAATCCGTGGGACTCGCTGACTCTGAGGGGAATGCATTGTTCCCGGCGTGTAATATGTATCTAGTTTGGCCCCTAATATGAGGAACCTAACAAGGCAACCAACTCATTGGCCTGTGCCTTTCAGGAGGAAAGAGGAGCATTTATGTGGGCTCACGTAATGCTTTGTGACTACTGGGCTCAACTCCTCTTTTCCTTTCATTAAATACTGGTTTAATAAAAACTGCACACGCAAACATGTGCAGGCCGACACAGAGACCAAATGCTAGCCCCCACGTGGCAGATGAATTGTGCTTATCCTGGAGTGACCTGGAGTGGCCTGGGAAGAGCTTTCCCATCGTGCCAATAGCCCTTTGCAAACTGGTGGACTGTGACAGAGTCCCTGTGCACAGAAGAAAACAAAAGCTTACCAAGACCTCATAGCATCATGGCATAGAACTCCTCAACAAGATGCAAAGCATCGAAGTTCAGATGTTGGATCTGCTCTCAGTGGGGCAATTTAATCTTTTTGGACTTAAGCTTCCCCATCTGGGTAGTAAGCTGTGGTGTGATAGAGTTCTTCCTTAGTTAGAGGTGACTGTGTCTTTCAGACAAAACTTAAGTGACTTAAAATTCAAAATTTTCCTTTTATATATACTTTTTTAAAAAATTTATTTATTATGTATGTAGTGTTCTGGGCACCAGATCTCATTATAGATGGGTGTGAGCCATCATGTGGTTGCTGGGGATAGAACTCAGGACCTCTGGAACAGTAGTCAGTTCTCTTAACCTCTGAGCCATCTCTCCAGCCCCCTTATATATACTTTTTTATTGATATTTATTGAGCTCTACATTTTTCTCTGCTCCCCTCCTTGCTTCTCCCCTCCCCTTTCAATCCTCCCCCAAGGTCCCCATGCTCCCAATTTACTCAGGAGATCTTGTCTTTTTCTACTTTCTACTTCCGATGTATATTACATCTATGTAAGTCTCTCTTAGTGTCTGCACTGTTGTCTAAGTTCTCTGGGATTGTGGTTTGTAGGCTGGCTTTCTTTACTTTATGTTTAAAAACCACCTATGAGTGAGTACATGTGATAATTGTCTTTCTGTGTCTGGGTTACCTCACTCAAAATAGTGTTTTCTAGCTCCATCCATTTTCCTGCAAAATTCAAGCTGTCATTATTTTTTCTGCTATGTAGTACTCCATTATGTAAATGTACCACATTTTCCTTATCTATTCTTCGATCAAGGGGCATTTAGGTTGTTTCCAGGTTCTGGCTATGACAAACAAAGCTGCTATGAACATAGTTGAGCACATGTCCTTGTGGCACGATTGAGCATCCTTTGGAAATATACCCAAAAGTGGTATTGCTGGGTCTTGAGGAAGGTTGTTTCCTAATTTTCTAAGAAATAGCCACACTGACATCCAAAGGAGTTGTACCAGCTTGCATTCCTACCAGCAATGCAGGAGTGTTTCCTTTTCCCCACAACCTCTCCAGCATAAGTTGTCATCAGTGTTTTTGATCTTGGCCATTCTTACAGGTGTAAGATGGAATCTCAGAGTGGTTTTGATTTGCATTTCTCTGATGACTAAGGATGTTGAGCATTTCCTTGAGTGTCTTTCAGCCATTTTAGATTCCTCTTTTGAGAGTTCTCTGTTTAGGTCTGTACTCCATTTTTTTTATTTGATTATGTGATCTTTTAGTGTCCAATTTCTTGAGTTCTTTGTATATTTTGGAGATCAGACCTCTGTCTGATGTGGGGTTAGTGAAGATCTTTTCCCATTCTGTAGGCTGTCATTTTGTCTTGTTAACCATGTCCTTTGCTTTACGGAAGCTTTTCAGTTTCAGGAGGTCCCATTTATTAATTGTTTCTCTCAGTGTCTGTGCTACTGGGGTTCTATTTAGGAAGTGGTTCCCTATGCCAATTCATTCAAGTGTACTTCCCACTTTCTCTTCTATAAGGTTCAGTGTGGTTGGCTTTATATTAAGTAAGGTCTTTGATCCATTTGGACTTGAGTTTTGTGCATGGTGATAGATATGGATCTGTTTTCATTCTTCTACATGTTTATATTCAGTTATGCCAACACCACTTGTTAAATATGCTTTCTTTTTTCCATTTGATATTTTTTAAAGATTTGTTTATTTTGTTTACAGTGTTCTGTCTGCATGTGTGCCTACAAGCCAGAAGAGGGCACCAGATTTCTTTACAGATGGTTGTGAGCCACTATGTGGTTGCTGGGAATTGAACTCAGAACCTCTGGAAGAACAATCAGTGTTCTTACCCTCGGAGCCATCTCTCCAGCCCTCCATTTGCTATTTTTTTGCTTCTTTATCGAAAATCAGGTGTTTGAAGATGTGTGGATTGATATCCTGGTCTTCTATTCGGTTCCATTGGTCCTTCTATCTGTTCTTATGCCAATACCAGGCTGTTTTCAGTACTGTAGCTCTGTAGTAGAGTTTGAAGTCAGGGATTGTGATGCCTCCGGCAGTTCTTTTATTGTACAGGACAGTTTTGGCTATCCTGGATTTTTTCTTTTTTCATATGAAGTTGAATACCGTTCTTTCAAGGTCTTTGAAGAATTTTGCTGGAATTTTGATGGGCATTGTGTTGAATCTGTCAAAATTTTCTTGATGGCATGTTGACCCTCAAAATTTTGAATTTCGTGTGTGTGTGTGTGTGTGTGTGTGTGTGTGTGTGTAATCTATAGAGACATGTTCTGCTGTCCCAGCCTACTGGGATTACAGGTGTGCACCACTACATTCGGCTATGGTTTCAGGTTTTGTTTGTTTTCAAGACAGAGTTTCCACATGTAGTCCTGGCTACCCTAGAACTAGTTCTGTAGACCAGGCTGGCCTTGAATTTAGAGATCACCTGCCTCTGCCTCCCAAGTGCTGGCTTTAAAGGCGTGTGCTACCACACCTGGTGATTTCAGATTTTTACTAGAAACATCCAACCTCTATCAACTTGAATCCTCCATCTCTGTTGACAGGTGCCATCCAGATTCCCACGGTGTCTTTCAGCCATGAGGAATCCAACACCACAGCCCTCGCTGAGTTTGGAGAATACATGCGCAAAGGTCAGTTGCAAACTGAGGGAAAGAGTGACAGAGACGCACTAGAGACTGTGTCCTTGACAACGTGATAGGAAAATACATTTTGTCACTAATAGAAGACAGTCACATTGGGGGGGGGGTGCTTTTTACTTTGTACATAGAATGTATAAAAGGGAGACTGAAAGTTACACAGTGGAGGATGAAGTGAGGGCTGTAGATTCGCCTTTGAAGAACTGAGAACTAGCTGTAGTTCTCTAAATAGTATCTGTCTGATCTAGACGTTAGTAGGTAAAACAAGGGATTCCTTCTCATGTGCAGATGTCTAGAGCTCTGTCCCAGCACCTCCCACTCCTACTCCCACGTACCCATTCACCCAGCTTTCAAGACACTCCACTTAGTGGGCTCATTTACACTGATTACTAACACACTCTTAAGACTCTGGGCAGCCAACATCCTTGACCTATCCTAGCACCTCCCCCTTCCTTCATCCCTATGACCACGGAGCCCAGAGCTGGGAAGAATGGATTGGGAGGATGTTAGAATCTTAAAGTGAAAAAATAAAAAAATCTAATGGAAAATAGGGAAGCCCCCCCCCTTTCAAGATGTCAGAGGTGGGAAAAGCCAGCTTAGGAGCATCAAGTAGTTCCCTCTCTAACATGCTGGGACAAATGGATCTGGGACTAAAACATTGTCACCAAACCAGAGATCAGGCAAGAAGTCATTATCAAAGAAGGGAGGGGATGAGAGGGAGAATAAGCTAGGGGCCTGGTGATGGAGCTCCATGGTAGAGTGTTTGCCTAGGATTTTCAAGACCCTGGATGCGATCCCAAGTCTGTCTCTCTCTTTGTGTCTCTCTATATGTCTCTCTCTCTCTCTCTCTCCCCCCCCCCCCCAAATTAAAACAATTTAGAGAACTAAACATATACAGTGAAAGTAAACTAAATAATCTGGTGACAGACTGAAACACACTCTTCTTCAGGTTTTTTTTTTGCTGTGGGGTGTGTGTGTGTGTGTGTGTGTGTGTGTGTGTGTGTGTGTGTGTTTAGATTGCACAAAGAAGTGCATTCTTCCCAGACAGTCCAGGGGGGATTAGCTAGACCACCTGTGTTGAGGTCTGCCAGTAATGAGAGTAATTCGTCCTGAGAACATCCACTCCCACATACAGAAGT